TGGCATCATGCACGTGCGGGAAACAAAGGGACATATCCTCCATGCGCGTAGGGGGCAAATATAGAGGGTCAGAAATTAAACTCCAAATTAGGTATGGGCCTAAGTGCTAAAGTCGCCCCTTTAAGGTGACCAGGAATGACTAAAGGAGCATGGGCTAAAGCCCAAGGAAAGTGGGCTAACAGTAGGCCGAAGCAGGTTCGACCTGCCAAGGGTCCAAATAGGCTCTACGATGGAAAATGCCTAAGTGAAGTTGCAGAGGCAACACTTGCAGCGGTCAAGTTGCTGAGACACTTTGCCTCAACGCCGCCATCTCTAATATTGTCGGTTCTACCACCATCTAAAGTTGCTGAGGGAAAGAGAAAAAGAGAAAATCGAAGCAACTAAGTTGCAGAGGCGACACTTGCGACGGCCAAGTTGCGGAGGCACTTTGTCTTAACATCACCATTCCAAGAATTGTCGGTATCGTTGCCATTCCAAGTATTGTTGGTACCACAGCCACCTGGAGTTATTGAGGGAATGAGAAAACTGAAGCAACTAAGTTGCAGAGGCAATACTTGCAGTGCCCTAGTTGAGGAGGTGTTTTGTCGGCGCCACTATCTCTAATATTGTCGGTTCTGCCATTTGAACTTGCCGCGGGAAATGACTACCTCCGAAACTACAGCCGTAGCAACTAACGTACAGAAGAAACGTCTTGCCAAGGTGATAGCAGCCTTTGGGAGAAGTTTGCCTTATGCAAATAGAGACTAATGCTTGGCTCTGATACAAGCCTCCAAGGCATTACTAGCCTAGGGCTGATAGCAGGCCCCAAAGTTTATTAACTTAGAGCTGATAGCAAGCCTAGAGATACCAGTATACCGCGGTAACCCCGCGAAGATGGGAGCAGGGTAGCCCAAGCGTAAGGGACTCACTTTCCATTTACCCAGGTCATGGACTTGCCTTGGTTGCACAGGCAGGACCAAAGAAGCCCCCTTGGGTTTGGTACTAAGGCACAACATAGCTAATAACAGGTTTGGATGTGGCCTTCGCCCTGGAAAGCTGGGGAGTTTGTAGTTAGGTGGCTAAGGGTAGAGGTTTCACTGAGGTGAACATGAAAACATGGCTGATAGCAGGCTATGAAGTTTTGAGAATGCATGTATTGGCTAAATAGAGTTGAGAAGGCAAGTGCAGCAGTAAGGTTTACAGCTGCAAGTGCACTTTTTGAGGTTCGAACTGAGAAGGCAAGTGTAGCAACAAGGTTTACAGCTGCAAGTGAACTTGTTAAGGTTTAAGCCGAGAAGACAAGGGCAGAGGCAAACACGATCGCCGCAAGTGCACTTGTTGAGGCTCAAAAGGTAGTTGCATCGCCAAACACTCTCGTCACAAGTGCACTTGCTGAGGCATCTACGCCAAATAGATAGTACACAGTACATGCAGAGGGACACGTGGCACCTTCAGCTTGGTGGCTCAAGGCAGAATATTCCATGTGATCCTTAAGGACACATGTCTTTTCTCTATTTGGCCACTTGGTGTCCTCTTAGTACCAAGGAAAAGCCTATAAATATGACCCAACTTCTCAAGGTTCAAGAGACGAATTTTTGGGATTTGGGGGAGATGCTGTTCATTTGTGCATTGCCATTGTCTTTTTCTTAAGCTACTTGCTTCACTCTCACCTAGCCATTCACTCTCCAAACTCCCAAACAATGGTAGCTGCTCATTCTCCAGTCATTCCATCATTCTTGAACCATTAACATAGTTTTGTCTCTCTAATCATCTTCCTAACCTCGAACATCCCTACAAAAGTTTACTTTTTCAGTTTGATCAATATTGAAAATTATTTGTTTAAACCCTACAAAAGTTGAAAACTATATATGTTCTTTTTTATTATTGTTGTTTGTTGTTCTTAGGTTTTTCGTCTTCTTTCAGTTTATTAATATTTAACACACTTTGCTATATTTTTTCACTTTAATTTTTCATTTTATTATTCTTCTTCTTTTTTTGGACAACATTCTAGGCATTCCGGTGAGTCTCCGGCGATATTCTTGACGTCCAGTGAACATTCTAGACATTCTGACGACTTTCAGCGGCATTCAAAATATTCCGGCAATATTCTGACAAATTTCCTGTGATATTCCAGCAACTTCTCAATGATGTTGAACATTTTAACGAGTCTCTGATGACCGTCTGATGACAGTCCGACGGTGGTGGGATACAATGTCGTCTTTAAATTATTATTATTATTTAAAAAAAAAAATTAGTAATAATTAGAAATATATAGGACTAATTGATACAAATATTTTGTTTTGAAATAAAATAAATTTTAAATTTTATATATGAAACTTATCAATAAATTTCCCTAATTAAATTACAGAAAGTTTTTTAGTGTCTTGTTTTAGGCTTCGATAACCAGCTCTCTTAAAGAGCCTCTATTGTTCTTAATTAGTAGAGATTGCAGAGCAATTTGTATTATGTGTCTTTGATTTTCTTATTGTCGGTGGACTTCTCATCAGGTCCAACATTTTCTTTATTTATTTTTATGCGTAAAATAAAAATTTTATTAAAAATATAAAATTAAAAGTGCAAAAAAAATGAAATGCATATAGAGAGATTTAGAGAATGCAAATTCTCTTATTACTGCTGCATGCATTTACACAACCAGTCTCCACCTCACAATTTTTTTAAATTTTAAAGGATAAAATTACAAATAAAGTAAAAACAACAACTAAGTAAATCTAAATTACACAACATTAAAAAGCTTGAATCCACCAAAAAGTTCTGACATCTACACCAAAATAGTCTCCTACTCCAAACCCAGTTCGCCAAACACACTTCCCAAAGCAATAATATGCCTCCCACGCATATTATCATGAGAAATTTCAGGATCATGAATAATTTTTTCATAAAAATGATCATGACAGATTTGTGACCCTTATTTAGTGTGTAGTGTTTTATTACCTTGATTAGTATGTAGTGTTTTATTCTAAGTATAATCCAAATAATACAAATCTTTCATGATCATTTTTATTTTCTAATACCTAGCATTGCTGTATTATCATGCCCGACGACCATTCATTGTCGAACCACTTCCATTGCTTGCTGGAAACTATCACGCCCAGCCACCATCCATTGTCGAACTACTTCCATTGCATGCACCAAAACTACTCCTTCCTTACAAGCCTCGCACCAAACTGTGAAACCTTCGCATGCGCCTCCCAATCCCGCACTCCACTTCTACATCGCCGTCGACGCACCAAACCGCCACTGCAAAGGTCACCGCGAGCACTCACTATATCAAACACCTCTTCTAATACCACGAGCACACAAACCCTCCTCCACCAATTGAACACCCATAACCGACTCACCCAACTCCGAGCACCCAACTTTGCTGCGCTGATGCAACTCCAACCCCTCCCCCTGAACCACTCGAATTTAACCCGCCAAAAAATGCCCATAAACAAGCACCCACACCGTCAAAAGTGGCAACCCCGAAAAATGCCTGCAATCAAACACCCATTGAACGCCAATGCCGTCGAACATGATAGCTTTGAAACCACCCATGGAACACCCAACCCAAAGATCAAAGCAGCAAAAACTATCTGGTGAGGAGAGGGTGGGAGGCGTATGGGGATTCAAGTTTATTTAAAAAGAAAAGAGAATGCACGCACGTAGAAAAGAGCTAAGTCATTTGGCGGTGGCCGGCCAGCTATGAGCCCGGGAATGGAGGGTTTAGAAAGAGAGTTTTCCCTTGTGCCTGCAATTTCAGGTCCAACAACCTCAAACTACTCAAATATACAAGTTACAGAATGGGAGTAGCTTCCCTCCAGTCCTGGATTGGACTGGAAGGTGCTGTTGGCCAGTAGGGACTCATCACGGGTTCCGTTTCGATAATCCGAACCATTCAATGTGTAAAATTATGCCTATAAAAAATCACGTTGATCGGATATCAATAGCTATGTGCTCAAATTAGTTTTGTATAAAAAAAATAGACGGTGAATAATTAACGGTTGATAGAAAACTAATATGATGAAATAACTATCGATATCTGATCAACGTGATTTTTTACAGACATATAGTATTCGACGAGTTCTACACATTGAACGATTTGAATTATCGAAACGGGAACCGTGATGGACTCCCACAGGCCCAACAGCACCCTTTACTCCTTCAGACTGGAGGGAAGCTGCTCCCTTAAAGAATTTAAAATGAATTTGATTGGCTGAATAATTCAAATTACAGAGTATGTTCCATTTTCAAAATAGAATTGCCCAAAATTGAATTTTAAAAAATATAATATACAAAAAGAAAAAGAAAAAGAGAGCCCAACACAACCTATCTATTACAAGAAAAGAGGCGACGCAACAAAGTTGTTGGTTCTGTAATATGTAAGACAAGAAACATACATGTTTGCAGCAACTTTCTTTTGAGTCGACGGAATAATAATCAGTCATCTCAAGACAAGGTTATCCATCAAATTCAATACATATAAATTCTTCGGCAGCCTCTCTCTAGTTCAAAATCAGATTGGAGTGTGTTGTTAGGCGTCCGTAGACCCATCACAGAGCTCGCAACAATGATTTGAACCATTCAACGTGTAAGACTCGTCGAGTACTTTATTCTTACAAAAAATCACATAAATTGGATATTGATAGCCACTTGATCATATCAAATTTGTTTTAACAGTAAGTATGATTTTAAAAATATATTATTAACACATATGATCTGATCAAGTAGCTATCGATATCCAATCAACGTGATTTTTTGTAAGAATAAAATACTCAACGAGTCTTAATGGCTATCAATATCCGATCAACGTGATTTTTACAGAGGTTAAGTACTCAACAAGCCTACACATTGAACGTTTGGATCATTGCGACAAACTCAAAATGGACCGGCCTGGACCGTCCAGTTGAAATACCCAACTAGAGACAGTCCAAACCCAATTCTAATACCATTAAAATGTTTTAAGACATCTGCTTAAAAACCCACCAGCACCCAAAAACCACAAACACTACCTCCTCCAAAAATTATCAAAACAAATTCATACGGAACCTTGTTCATGCTCATATTATTCACTACTTAAAACAAAAATAACATACCGATAAAATAAAAACTAGAGAAGATCAACAGTCCTTTACAATTTTGGCCATGAAAGAACTACTGCTGCTTCGCTTTAGCAACGAGAGCACCTCTACTTTGTCTAGTGATTGCAATGAAAATGCCTAATTGAACTAATTAATATAAACTATAATGCTAGTTGTTTACCCCTAAATGCTGCCACATTATCCACAGCAGCTACACAGAGACTTATTCAAATGTGACCACCGATCGAGAGAAATGGAAATGAAAAATGACAACTCATTAGACAAATTTATGTCTGCAAATAAGCAAATATTATTCCAGCTCAAGTGCAGAAGAACCCAATAACACCAACTGAGCTTGAGCTTTACACTCCTCTCTGTCCCTTTGTACATTTTGCTAGTAGAAAAGCAAATTACCTATGAGCAGATGTGTGTGGCATCGGATACGTCATGGGACCCATGTTCATTGGGGCGCCAGGAACCACCTGTCCCGGAACCGGAGCTCTGACACCATATGCCATGTGTCCCGGAGGAAGATTCACTGGCGTGCCAACCGCTGAAACAAGGGGTCCTATTGGTTGCCCTATAGTTGGTGCTCCATACACGCCAACTCCTGAAGGTGCAGCTGGGGTTTGTGAAGGTGGTTTGTTTGATTTGCCAGATGTCCCTGTGGCAGAACAATTTGTTTGACCGGTAATGGGTCCTTGGGGCACTGAAACATCTCCATTATTGACGCTTGTGATGTCATGAATGCTTGATCGCCTCCGGTCTTTGTTCATAGAGTTCAAACGAATGAAGTACTTCTGTGCATGGCTTGCCACTTGTGTAGGTGTTCTTGTCACCACATAATTTCGGGAGATACTTCGCCAATCACCTTTCCCATATTTATCCAAACCAATAAGAAATAATCTGCTTTTGCAAAAAGACAGAAAAAGAAAAAGGTAATCAACAAGTTGAATTTAAATTAAAAAATACTACTTTGTAAGAATTTAGGTAAAGTTAGCACTTAAATATGCAATACAAAAGGAAAATATCGAAGTAGATGATATCCTCAAACGTCTATTCGTGTTCTTCAGAGTAATAAACATGAATAAGCATTACACCATAGCTCATCAAAATATAAGATCCGTTCCCTTATTTAAGAGGTCTTTAATTAATTTCAAATGTAACATATGCAACTTTGCTTCTAAACAAGACCCAAACAATAAATAAATGAATATTATATCGTCAAATATATACAAACCATTTAATTCCAATTTTAAATAGAGGCCAGAAAATCAGGCATGGTGACATTAGTGGAAGGCAACCTTGCAGTCTACAGTTGCCCTGTTTACAACTGAAGCAGAGTATATCGCGGCTACAGAAGCTGTGAAGGAAGTGCTGTGGTTAAGAGAGTTCTGGTTGGGGATTTGGGATTGCAACAGAAGTCTACTACTGTGTATTGCGACAGCCAGAGTGCTATACATCCGGCTAAAAATCATATTTGCTATGAAAGAACCAAAGACATTGATGTTAGAGTGCATTTTTTTTGAGATATTGTTGGTGAAAGTGCAATTATTGTGCAGAAAATTCACACAGCAGGCAATCTAGCTGACATGATGGCGAAACCCAATTTAGCAGTCAAGTTCAAGTATCGTATTGCATGGACTTGATTGGAATTAGGAATTAGCAGTACCTAATTGGAAGTGGTGTGAAGATGGTGAGAAGAATTTCGATTTTAGAGGATCAACTCGAATGTTCGCTAAGGTGGATATTTGTTGACTTTGTGGATCACATTTTGTGAACAAATGGGGGCTATGCAGGTGAAGCTACAAAGCCAACCTAAAAAGGTGAGCCCACCACAAATCTTTGGACTTGGGATATTCAGCCGAAAATGGTTGAATTTTGGTTCTTCTTGTATTTATACATAAGACCCTCAACTCTCCATAATTGCAAGTTAATTCCCTGGAGCTCAACTATAAAATAAGGGCTTGATGTCTCACATCCAACACAACAAAACCATAGAGTAATACTAGTGTAATGCTCCATTTGATTGGCCTAAAAACATTTTCTGATGGACATTTTTTTTCAGAAAATGTTTTCCAAAGAAAATACTTTTCTATGTTTGGTGGTGGTGGTGGGACGAAGGTGAAGGTGAAGGTGAAGGTGAAGGTGAAGGTGAAGGCGGAGGTGGAGGTGGAGGTGGAGGTGGTGGAATGGTGGTGAGGTGGCGGCAACGGTGATGGTGGTGTGATGGTGGAGGTGATAGTGGCGGTATTAGTGTGATGACATTGGTAAAATTTTAGTCTGAAAAATATTTTCTGCCATTTAAAAATGGAAAGCATTTTCTGTTCAAATAGAGTTTTGTTGATCATAGAAAATGTTTTCAGTTGATGGCGCAAGTAGAGAAAGTACATAGAGAAATATAGAGTGAATTTCTTATATAGAGAGTTGGGTATACAAGGGCTTGGGTATATTTCTAAATGTACTGAGTTTGAGGATGTAAAAAACAAATTGAGTCCACTTCTAAACATTTTTCTTCCATAGTGAAGTATTCTTGTTGTCTTGTCCATGGACGTAGGAAGTAATCCAAACCACGTAAATCGTCTGTCTTTAGTGTGAGCTTCTTATTATTTCCCATTGGTTATTTCTAGTTACTTTGATAAACAAATTGCCACCGTTTCATAACTAGTCTAAATGGTCCAAACACAACAATGCCCAAGTGATCACCTATGAAAAGTGAGAATTAAAGAAAATCATAAATTGCCTGTTTTAAACTTAGATTATGTTGTCCAGCATAAAAATCTTCTCTCATTTTCTCAAGACCAAGAGATAAAATTTCAAGTCATCTCATTTTCTACTTTCAACCAACATTGCAAAAAACATGGGCAGTGGTTTCTTTGATGGATTTGAAAGGCATAGAACATGTTGGCCATCAAATATGCTTTAAATTTTTTATTTCACTCATTTACCTCAGGCCTGTTTATTTGCTATTCTTATTTTGTTTTCCTTCATGGTTCCTCTATGTCATTGTCATCTAAGAATATTTTATCATCCCCCCTCGGATTTCTTAATTTTCAAAGTCAAGATAAGCTCCAAGATCTAGAGTTTTCCTCTTGATTTTTGGGCCTTAAAAATCTAATTGAGATCAGGATTTCAACTTAGTGCAAGGGCTCAAACAGGCACCATGCTTATCTTGAGCTCATATACTCAAGCTGAAAATTGTTGAACATGACATGGTTGAGCAATGGATTAGATCCAGTTCATTTAATCCAATGAACAGATAAAGAAACTTAGACACCTCATATTAGCAGGAGAATTTTGAATTGATTTTGTTCCATGGAAAAAAAATTAGCTTTATTAACTAAGGGAAAAAAATATATCAACCAGCAAGTTCAAAGATACCAAAGACCAAAATTGAGATGTTGTTTGTGTTGGACAGCTTGACATAAATAGTTAGGCCCATCTCCCAACAACTTAGGCTTTTGGGATTAGTGATTAGAGATCAAGTTGGGAGAGGTCTTGAGTTTAAGTCTCTTCGTTTGCATTTGGTCCCCGTCTGCTTTCTTTCTTCTTTCGTTTGCATTTGTTCTTCTCTATATATATGGGCGTTTGCATCTCCATGGACAAGATGGGGTTGCACGTGAGGGAGGATGTTAAATAGGTTGATATACATTGTTGGGTCCATTTCCTAACAGCTTAAGATTTTGAGATTAGTAGTGATCCATTTCCTAACAGTTGGAGAATGATGTCTCAATCGTAGGAGATAATTAAGATAGAGGAAATAAATAAATAAATCTGTAGGGAGATGTTAAAACCTATCACCTACCATCACCTACTACACCTACCACCAAACCTACCATACCTACCACCAAACCTACCATCACCTACCATCACCTACTCCACCTACTACACCTACCACCACCTACTCCCCTACACCTACATCTATATAAAGAACCCCTCACCATTTGTAATATACATCAATACATCAATCAATAATACATACAATTTATTCTCTCTCTATTTCTCTTTATACATTAAATTTTACATGGTATCAGAGCAAGGTTAACAACCTAGTCATTCTGCTTCACCGGCGGGCGGCAGTCTCGCCTTGGCCGCTCGCCGGACCTCTACACATACCTTCAATCCGCTGCCACAAATTATTCTTCTTGATCTTGATCTTGATCTTGTTGATTGGCTTCCACATCCGACTGCACTGCCATTCTTTGCTCCACAGACCGCATCGGAAAGTTCAGCGGAGCAAACTCCGGGGCACTTGGTTGAGGTTCCAGTGCCACTGCTCCAGTTATCTCTCTTGTTGACTCGTTGAGGTCGGGAAAGAGGGTGAGCAGACCGCGGGAAGACGAAGCCATTTTCTAGGCAACAGAGTGTTACAGAGTTTCTCTCTCAGACAAGAAAACGCAGAGTTTTTTTCAGAGTTTTTTTTTTAGCAGGTTTTGTCTCTGCCTCAGCCTCAGCATCCATCTTGGTTAAATAGCCAAGGACAGACCCGCACTTCATGCACCGCTCGGCGCTCGCCGACACAATGGCACGCCTTTTGATGGCACGCCTTTTTATGAATTGGGCACACCTTTTGAGGGTGCGTCTCTTTCAACGGTCCGACATGACCCCATAAACTATCCCGACATTGATTCCGGTTAGCTTTTTCAGTGTCCTCTACAACGTTATGGCACCCCCATCCAGTGTCCTCTACCACGTTATGACACACCCATCCAGTGTCCTTTACACCGTTATGACACCCCCATCCAATGTCTTCACCAACGGTCTGACACGACCATACAGTGTCTCCTGTCCTCTTTTATTTTTGTGTATTTTCTTGTTTTGTTACTCTCTCCAAACTCGAGTTGGTTAGTTCCTATCCCCCTTGAGTTTGCGGGGGACTGTTAAAACCTATCGCCTACCATCACCTACTACACCTACCACCAAACCTACCATCACCTACTCCACCTACTACACCTACCACCACCTACATCTATATAAAGAACCCCTCACCATTTGTAATATACATCAATACATCAATCAATAATACATACAATTTATTCTCTCTCTATTTCTCTTTATACATTAAATTTTACAGGAGAATGTCAACTTCCAGACATTTGCTTTCCCACAGGTTTGGATTTTAATTAACTTTGGAGTATGATCCCGATATTAACAACTTAGACATGTCACATGAAACACAACAAAGAGAGGCAAGGAAAAAGGCTGGGATAAGACAGAAAGATCAAACCAAAATGTCACACCCAAGGTTCTGAAAAGCGGTTGCGGTTGCAGGGTGTAAAGGCCGTAGTGTAACGGTTGCGGTAACCGGAACCGTGAATTTTTTTATTTTTCGCACAATTTGAAAAAAATTTACCGATACGCATATTTTTTTTCCATGATCATATTTATTGGGTTAAAAATAAATATTGATAAATTTTTGTAAATTTTTAAGTATGATCCAATATATTTCATATTTTTAAATCACTATAAACTGAGTTTTTTACATTTTATTTTAATGATTAATGATTTTATATTATACAAAAAATCAATTACTAACTATTATATATAAGATAAACAATGACAAAAGTAAGAGAATAAATAAGAGCCTAAATATATATATATACATATTTTTACCAAGCCAAATAAATAATGATCACACTTATTATTATTATTATTATTTTCAAACAATATATAAATAGACACACACAAACAAAATAGTTGAGTGATAACAGCTGAATAGAATAGCATAGGTCTTACAGCTTCAACAAATCAATTGCATGTTCTTCATCTTCCCTCTTCTCTTTCTCTATCTCTTGCTCCATTTTCTCTCTTTATCTTCCCTCTTCTCTCTATCCCTCTTCTCTCATTTTCAACTTTTTTTTTGTATTTTTTCGAAAGAAACAGTTTGGAACCATTACGTAACGGTGCGTAACAAGCCGTTACGGCACTGTTACGACCGCTACGGCAACCGCTACAGCCGACACACCTGTGAGTCTCAATCATACTGCAAAAGCGGCCGTAACGGGTGACAGTAACCACCAAAACCGTTACGTAACGGCGTTACGTAACGGTTGCGGCCGCTTTTTAAAACCTTATACCTGATGGGCTTAGGTTCCCCAAAGAGTGGCAAACACATCCAACTGGTGAGTAAACAGTTGGATCTAGGGTGCACAAAATACCCAATAAACTGAAGAACATAACCAACCAAACCCAACCTCTTTGGATTGGGTTGGTTTGGTTTTTGAGTACATTGGTTTGGTTCTGGGTTTTCAAATCATCAAACCAATACGATTGGGTTGGTTCGGTTTAAGCAAGCCAACCCAAGAACCAAACACATATATATAATGTAAAATTCTATTTAAATTGGCATGTCTTCACCTAATTAGTCTATTAGGATGGATTTGATTGCACCTAATAATTTCTCACATGAAAGAAATGTTATTGGATTTAATTGGTATTGGTTGTGTTTAAGTTTGAGTTGGCCTTCTCTATACTATTCACAATTGTTGGCATGTATTAAACAATATTTTGTTCTTTATTTGTGTTATATTTAAATGTTAAAGACTTGTTTAATTTAATTATTCAGTATTGGTTGATTTACTTATTTTTAGTATGGTGAAACCATGGTGCCAACCCAAATCAACCCGAGCTACATTGGGTTGGATTGGGTTGAGTTGGTTCTAGTGCATGATAGATTTGGTCCTGGGTCCAAAACTTGAAACCAATCATGATTGGATTGGTTCCAAATTTAGTGCCAACGCGAACCAAACCAAACCAACCCATGCATAAACTACTATGATCTAGCAGGAGAGAGAGGAAGTGGAATATAAGAGCTCAAAAGCAAAGAGCTCAAAAGCAAAGAGCTCTGGAAGGGGCGTGATGTTGAAGACGCTTGTGATATAAGTGGTACTTCCTTATACCTTACTATTATAAATAAAATGCAGTTAGGTATTGCTACAGTAGATGGCTCTCATTTTTTTCTTCCCATTTTATCATTTTGTTTTTTGTGCTGGTTCATATATATTTGGTCTGGTTCATATATATTTGGTTTGGTTAAAAAATAATATTTTAATTCATTCTAATTTAATTTCATCATCAATTTGCTACCATACCTAGCAATCTACATCTAGGTACAATCATTGCATTTAGATAATTTGAATCAAAAAGCCATTGAGATACTTTAGTCCCACATGTAGGCCAAGTTTGGGAAGACTAAATAAGTGTACTTTTTGACTTTTTGAATTTTTTGGAGGATGCCAAACTTGGCCGTAGCGTGAAGGAAGTGATGCTGCCGGGGAAAATCAAGGGTCGTGTTTGGTTCACTTTTGAAATTGTGATTTTAATTTTTTTTTTTCAAAATTCATAATTAAACACACAATTCAAAACTCAATTCAAAAACTATTTTTAAAACATATTATCAACTAAGAAGCATGGACACGGACACGCCGACACGTTAATTTTAAAAAAATGCAGGACACGACACGTGGAGGACACGCATGAAATATATAATTTTATATATTTATTATATGTTATATATATGAATATATCATTCAAAGATAATAAAAAATGCAATATAGCACTAATTCCTATAAATTTATATGGTTTTTGTTTTATTATTGTATCTTAAGTTGTTCTGTTCAAACTTATAATTAGTTTCACATATGTATAATCAGTAGACACATGTGTTTAAACAATTGACTTGTGTATCCTCCAAGTGTCCAAAGAGTGTCCGGGTCTTCAAAAGTATTTAAAAAATAGGACACGTTTTGAAGAGTATTGGACACGTGTCCTAAGAGTGTCCAAAGAGTGTCGGTGTCCGACACGGACATGACATGGATACGTCACCTTCTTAGAAGTGTCCGTGCTTCTTAGATTATCAAATATATAACTCAAAATTTAATTCAAAACTCATAATCAAACTTTTTCAAATTTTTATTTTTTTTTATTTTATTCTTTAAAATTATTTTTTATTTTATATTTTTTTTCAAAACACATTTTGTTTATTTTTATTTTTGAAGAAAAATATTTTTATTTTTTTTATTTTTTCAAAAAAATATTTTATTATTTTTTTAAGTATTGGCCAAATAACTTGTTATGATTTAGATATATATGGGCAATCTAAAAATTTTTGAAATTTAAAAAATTAAATATTTGATAAATAAATTTTTTAAAAAATATTTAAAATATTAAAAAAATTAAAATATCTAAAAAATAAAATAAAATATTTAAAATAAAATAATAAAAAATAAAAAAATTTCTAAACATTTTTAAATATTTAAAAAAGACAAATCTAAAAATTTTCAAAATACAACTCAAAACTCAAAAACTCAAAACTCAAAATACAAGTCAAAACTCTTTTCAAAACTCATAATCAAACAAATTTTTTCAAAACTAAAAATAAAACTCAAAACTCAAAATACATCTCAACACTTAAATCATTATTCTACCACCACTAAATGCATCGGGTACTTATTAACAGGTGATGACGTAGTATACTTTTTTCCAGAAAAATTGGAGAAAAGAAAATATTTAAAACATTAAATATTTGTAAAATACAAGGACATCCATAAGGTATGTCGTATTTTCATTTAATGTCGTTGATATGAGAAAATCAACAAAGTACCTTCTTAACTGAGATTCTAGTTTTGTTGAATGCCATTAACAAAATATATTAAAATACAATCTCACCTGTGGATAATTTTCACGGTTATAAGTCACAAGCTGCTCTCTTTCTTTATCTCTCTCCAAGATTGCCAAGCATCAGAACGACCGCCACACCATCATTGCACCATCACAAATGACCACTGTCAGAGCCAACCTTTGCCACACCACTAGACCACTCACATCGATCCATCTCTTAACTCCCGAACAACAATTAAAAATCACAACTGGAAATAACCAAGACCTCCACCACCTACCCACCAGTCAACCACCACATAGTTATAGGCCATTCGGTTTTATCTAAGACATTCAAAATTTTGCAGGGAGTCGAGAGAGAGAGAGAAAGAGAGAGAGAGAGAGAGAGAGAGGTCAGATTGCTTAATGGGAGATAAAAACTTGCCGTATCAATCCTTAAAACCCTTTCTATAGCTAGAAAAGAAGATCAGATTGCTTAATGGGAGCTGCGAACCTCTGCTTCAACAACACCCTTTCTAGTTTCTATAAGCTAGAAATGGGATCAGATTGCTTAATGGGAGATAAAAA